CTTAACAGCAACCCAGTAACTGAGGTTCGGAGTGCCCTTCCTGGGAGTCTCCACTGCCTTGCTAAGCGAGGCGGAAACGGGGATGTCTCGGATTTCCCAAAGGGTCCAGGGTTCAGGGTTTAGGGTCCAGGGTTTAGGGTTTCCACGTGAGCTACAGTCTCAATTCCTTAACGGGGTTACCTAGGGGATTATATAGGGGACTATCATAGGGGTTATTGAAGGGGATGCTAAGAGATTAGACTACAGCTTATGTAGCTCTATAGAATATACCTGCGCCCTTAAGTAGTTGTATCGGAACCCTTTGGGCCCCAAGTATATACTATACACCTAAATGGAGCCTTTGGGTTTCATAGGAAGGTAAGCATAGGTGGTAGATCCATGCCTGACTGTCTGGAGAGAAATCAGCTTGACAGTGGGGTTCCCTAAAGTAGGACATCTTCCTGGACCCCTTTAAACAGGGTCTATGTAGGTCCTATCTGGGGACACTTGGGTTTTATAGCTTTATCGAGGCTACTTGGGGGGGTCTAGGTTTGTGGGTCCCTATAACATAAGGACTATAGCATTTTGGAGTCTGTGTTGGGTCCCTATAACATAAGGACTATGGCATTTTGGAGTCTGTGTTGGGTCCCTATGACACAAGGATTGTTGCATTTTGGAGTCGGTATTGGGTCCCTATAACAAAATTAAGGATTATGGCATGTTGGAGTCTGTATTGGGTCCCTAGAACATCAGCACTATGGCATTTTGGAGTCTGAATTGGGGTACGCCCCCCCCCACCCCCCTATTTGCGGAAACTGCCAAGTCTCTTGAGGCTGGCGAGGGCCAGGCGTTGAAAGCACTTCATGCAGCAGCCCTCGCAGCCTGGGACGCCATTGGTCAAGATTTTTTGCTTTGGTTCCTCAACCAACACTAAACTTCATGTGGTGTTTCAGTAGAAGCCGGAATATTTGTTGAACACATTCCTTTGCAACGTTTGTACAATGACCGCATGCGGTAACCGAAGAATTCTTTAGAGACATCAGCCTTGCTTGGAGTTTGTGGTATCCTTTTTCCACAAATGTAACAAGTACCTATGTATGATGTGTTTTTGTTTGGTTTAGTGCTTCAAGTTTGCAAAAGTTCTCCCTGGTTTGGTGTCTTTCTTTCCTACCCTCAGAGTATTCGGATCTTGAGAGCTTCTATATCTGCTAGGGATACCAGAATCTTATGCAGTAGCATGAGCTGGGCTGCAACCCACTCTTAAGCCTCAACCCTTAGCCTTAAGACCTAACTCCACTAAAGGTCTCTTTTGTCAATGTATTATCATGCATCCCTTCTAGCCATCAAGTGGCGCATGATCATACATAGGCTCTGCACTCCCAAACCCTAAACCCTAAACCCTAAAACCCTAAACCAGTCCCTTCACCCTGACTATTCTAAGGCCTCCCTGGAGAAGCATGGGATTGCTGTCATTGACGACCTGGACCTTGCTGTAGCGCCTCGCTCGGTGCGACGCTCTCGGACTCTCCTCCTGCAGTTAATTCAGGGATGCATATTACGGGATTTAGGGTTTGGGGTTTAGGGTATAGGGTTTAGACATATAGGGTTTACGGAGGGTTCAGGGCGTGTGTGTGAACATATATATATATATATGCACACAGATAGATAAGCGCGCACACACACACACACACCTAAAAATGTCTAGATATCTACCTACACAGAAAAGTATGTATGTATGTATGTATGTATGTATGTAGGTAGTTATGTATGTAGTTATGTATGTATGTATGTATGCATGCTTCTGTATACTTGTGTATAGGGGTGTGTTTCGATGTGTAGGGTTTAGGCTTTAGGGTTGGGTAAGCTCCCCAAGCTGACATGGAGCCCAACAAAGGGTCCTACGAAGATACCAGCCCTTGAAAGGAGGGCTTTATGGGGTTCCATGTTTGGGGCTACAAAAAGTGTTAGTTCTATGTTTGGGGGAGTTAATTCAGATGTTTGAGGGTTGGAGGGCAATAGCGTTTGAGAGCTTCAGGGTCTGGGGCTTTGGCATTGGTTGGAAAGATGCTTTAGGTCTTGCTCAAAACATTTGTTTTGGGCGGGCTCCTTACGGGGGTGCGCGTGCAGGCCGTGTAGGGCTGGTCAGCTCGGATTGGCATGAGTTCCGGGTCAAAGGTTGGGGCGGGACTCGTTTGGGGGTTGGGGTTTCAAGGAGGAGTCCAATAGTGGTTGTAGAGGGCGACTTGTGGTGGTTCTAGACAGGGGTTCTCAAAGAACAGGGTGCTCTTTCGCGCCTTGGTACGACGGACGCCAGAGTCTTTACGAAAGACCTCGATCTTACCAAACAAATATCTGGGCTGTTGCTTAGGAACTTAGATTGAACTACTATGATACTATGATACGGAAACCGTATTCTCTACTATATATAACCATATTACGGTAACTTAAACTAAGTTCCTTATAACAGCAACCCAGACATTTGTGCCGGAGGGTTTCTTGTTTTCAGGCCTGAAGGGCTTGGGGTTCTTGGGTTCAGAGGCTGCCTTAGGCTGGATTAAGGGTTTGCAGGGGCGTTTCAGGTTTCTATTTCGCTCTGGCGGTGCCGGTCCGCAAGCATTTGCTTGCAGCAGGCTTGAATCTATATAATTAGCCTGCGCGATTTTCATCTTGCTTCATGATTCTCACCTATTTGAGCACTTCTGTTATAGGGACGTCGTATGGTTTACAGTACCATTGGAATTAAGTTCGTCATGAGGCTACAAGTAAACTTATTTAAATGCGTGGTACAAGCTTACAAAAACGATCCCAGAACCATCTCCTCTAGCCTCCTTGCCCACACTGAGGACACTCATCGGCGACATCAAGGGTGCAGGTGATCTCTACAACTGGGAGGTGGGCATGCGTCTTCACAAATAGGGAGGTAATATCAATATACTTTATTGCCAAAATGTAGGTATCATTTGTTGACTTAGTGCCGCAGGGGCACTCAGGGATGTATCCTCGCCAGGTAGCTCCTTCACCTGCCATGCTCATCAAGGCCTTGAACGATGCTGCGGCCTCTGCTCATGGTGTGATTGCCTTCTCCTCGGTGGAAGACGCGCACTTGGCCTTCATCAATGCGCCCCTGGCCGTGACACTGGGTGAATCCACGGCAGAGGATTACGGAGTGGTCTTGAAGAATGTTTTGGCAGCCCAGGGGGCAGCGGATGAAGAGGTTATCTACTCTTTGCACTCACAGCTCTCTCCTGCTGACCTGAAAGCCGCGGCAGCGCGGGTTCTTGCACGTCAGACCTCGGTCACAACCGAGACCCTAGTAAGCTCAATCAGGGACGAGTTGGTTTCCGTATCTGCGGTTGCCCCAGAGGAGGTTGAGCCTGTCGACCTGGCGGAGTATCCTGGGCTTGAGGGGATCAAGGAGGAGTTGGAGCGAAATGTGCTCTTCCCCTTAGAGAACCCTGACCAAGCCAAGAAGTTTGGACTTACTCCAAAGCGTGGAGTGCTCCTACATGGCCAGCCGGGCACAGGCAAGACCACCGTGGGGCGCTGGTTGGCCAATAGGCTGAAGGGTAAGTTCCTTGGATTCCCATCGGAGTATATGATAGTATATTATAGGGATGATGGAAAAGAAAATGGAAACTACTACATTATAGCGGGGTATATATATGTGTATATATATATATATTGGGAAGCTGGAGTGTATTTTCGCATCTGAAGCTTGAGCATTTGTTCCGACGTCACTTTGTAAGCGTCAATCACAACCTAAACCACGTACCCTGAACCCTAAACTCGAAGCCCTCAATCCCCAACCGTAAACCCCAAACCTTAGGAACCCTCGCTCCTTTCATTGAATCCTTGCCCCTCTTCATTATCACCATTGCTAATGCTATCGCTAGTACTGCTAAGCCCTAATCCCAGAAACCTAAACCCTAACCCCCAAAACCTAAACGCTAATCCCAAAAACTTAAACCCAAATCCCAAAAACTTAAATCCTAATCCCAAAAACTTAATATCCTAATCCCAGAAACCTAAACCCAAATCCCAAAATCTAAACCTTTACCCCAAGGTTCTTCCTGGTCCGTGAGATGATGCTCCAGGCTGACATCATCAAAGTCTTTGCAGCTGCCCAGGCAACCCGGACCAAGGAGTTTTTGGGGTTTGATTCCTCAATATAGGGGATTATATAGGGGTAATATAGGGTTCATATACGGGTTCTATATGGGTTTAGGGTTTAGGGTGTAGGGTTGGGCTTAATTCCTAAACCCTGAACCCTAAGCCGCATAGCATGGGCTTAGGATTAAGGGTCCGAGTACTCATTATTTATAATCTTTCCCAAAACCAGTGCCACAAGTACTCGTGCCAAATATCAAGTACCCAATTCTTACTTTCATGGACCCATAGGGTTAGGATTAAGAGTTGGGGTTACTATATGACGTTTATGACTGCATTACTCATTCGAGGGAAGTGCATTTAGGGTGTAAGGTTGAGGGAGTTGAGACTGGGGGCCATAGTGATCGGGTTGTTTAGCGCGTAGCGCTTGTACGACTTCAGACTTAACGTTCAGTCTAGGGAGCAAGACAGCCCAATGTACGTAGGGACTATCCATAGACTTGCGGGCCCGAAGTGGTAATATTGCTATAGACGTAAGATTCCCAGAGTTACAGTATATTGGTATCCTACTACATTATGACTACATTACTCTGCATGTTTTACTGTAGGGATTCTGAACCCTACACAGCCAGGCAGCCGCACCCTCCGTGGTCTTCATCGACGACGCGGACATCGTGATAGGAGGCAAATGATCTTGGACATGAGCTATAGTCTGAGTTACATAGGGGATTATATGGGGCTTAGCGTGAAAGGTTTATGGTCTTAACTCCTTAAAGGTGGATATTTCGGTGCTTACATAAGGGACTAGTATAAGCGTTATGAGGGGGGATACTAGGAGTGGAGATTATAGCTAACATGAACATCTTAGCAGCTACATTTAGGGACTGGGGATTACACAAATTTTTGGGCTCCGAGTCTGAAAATGCTACCTGCCATTGGACCCTAAGGTCTAGAAATAGCACTAGGGCTCAGGGTTTAGGGTTTAGGTTTTCGGGAAGTAGCGGGGCATTTAACCTTTAACCGTGTTAGGTACATGTAACCTTACCCCCAATCGTCCAAAGACTCAAATAATGGGGTTTCAGGGCCCAAATACTATAATGTTAATGGTTTTTGGGCCCTAAAACCCTATTATTTGGATCCTTGGACCCTTAGAGCACCATAACTAAAAGTTGCGTTTTTCCAAGTTCCCTGGACCCCTGGTAGAAAATGAAATCTCAGCTGGTGCTTGTGACTTTCAATAACTGAAAAAACTTGTTTTGAGGGAACTTCCAGATGTGAGGCACGAGAACTACGCAACTAGGAGATAGTCTGGTGATCAATGTTTGGGCCCTGTGGATGTTGAACGCCCTTCAAACCTCAACACAGAGACTGTTGATAGTTCAGTATACGGTACCTAGGATCATTGACGGCTTTGCCCAGCAGTCGTAGTAATCTAAGGACTGCACATACTTGTATCAAGCAATCGCATCGTCCTGGCAACTATAGGGTTGATGGACAACATCCCCGCATGACACGGCAGGGGTCTCAAAACTCCAAACCTAAACCCTAAACCCGAAATCCTAAACCCTAAAACCCTAAACCCTAAAACCCTAAACCCCATTATCCATCGTCAGCAGTTAAAGGCTGGCGCCCCCTAGATGGCCACCGTGGCTCTGACATCTTCCGTTTCTGGCTTGTCCTTAGGGACCCAAATAACAGGGTTCCTCTCCAGGGGTTATAGGGGGAGAAAAGGGATATATGGGGACAATCTAAGGGTCCAAGAAAAAGGGTTTTAGGGCCAAATACTATAATGTTAATGGTATTTGGGCCCCAAAGCCCTATTATTTGGGTCCTCGGACCCTTAGGGTAAGGAACTGTTCGGGCTTCAGGGACTTATGTAGGGTTTAGGGATTAATTAGGGTTTAGGTAGGGATTAGGGATTATTTAGGTTTCTCAAAATTAGGGGTGCCTTTGAAGCGACGATAGGGGATATACATATATACATATAATTATATACATACATGTATATATATATATCTAGAGAGGGTTTAGGGATTAGGGTTTAGGGCTGTTCAAAATTAGGGGTATCTCTTGTAGGTCCGCATAATGAGGATTTTCGTATTTTAGGTTTCAAATTGGGGTCCCCTATTTGGAAATTGCCATCTGCATTGAGATACTATGATATGCACCTAGACCCTCCACTTACCGGCTATCAGGGCCCAAGTACCCACCATTAAGGGGCTACATAGTTTAGGGTTTAGGGTTTAGGGTTTTTAAGGGGCTACATATCCCCAATGAAGGGAACTTGGGGGGTCTTGGGATATGTAGGAAGCTTAGTTACTCAAGTTCATGAAGAAGCGGATGAAAAAGAATCTGCATTCATGCTGAGGTTGTATCGCGGGTTGGGTGACTTAGCATAAGGTGCCAGAATATTTCCACATGGTTCAAAAAATCAGCTTCTTCAGAATGAGAGCTGGGTTTATGCTTCTTAGCAGCCCAAATCCAAAATCGATTAGGGCTTAGGGTTCCAAACGCTTAGCAACCCAGGTTTCCTCCTGGGACGAATGGACGGGCTGACCTCCAGAGGCAAACGTCAGCGAGAGACCGGAGACGTCGTTGCTGGAGCCTGCAAGGGACTGTGATATGGGCTATAGTCTAAATTCCTTAAAGGGAAGTATAAAGAGGATGATATCGGGGACTGCTATACGGCTTATTAAGTGGTACTAGGAGTTTAGACTATAGCTCATATGGGTTGTTCTCAAATTTATGGCCCCCCTTTTGGTACCCTTAAATTTTAGGCGCCCCTGTATAACCCATAACCAAAAGGGTCCCAGTCTCTTGAGAACAACCCATATGGCCCATATTTCTCGTGAAGGAACGCGGATGCATGAGATGTTTTGTGCATGCTATGCATTCGGAGCTCTTAATTTCGCAAGCTACCTCGGAGTAGTTGTCAGAATGCTGGTCTGGTTTTAGCAGGGCACATGATTCAGCATTATCACCCTTACAGCAATACTTTAAATAAACCATAAATAGTGTATTCCTACCCTACCTACTTTTGTGTAGCCACTACCTTTCACAATCAACTGAGAAATCTCGACGAATCATTATATCTTCGACAGATCTTGGCTTCGTGCTGCCCTAACATCGTGGCTTTCATGTTGTTTTCATCAGAGTCGCGATGTTGACTGCTCTGATCATGCGGAGCATCATAGGCCAGAATACAATAGGCCCCTATACAACCCCTATATATTATATGTATATATATATATACATACACCCTAGAATCCCTACGTAACCCATTAGAGTAGTTTCCATTTTCTTTTCCATTTTCCCCATATAACCCCTCCCCAACACCGAAGCTCAGCGCAGTGGGGAAAGGGACAGAAGGTACCCTGTCTCCCTACCCCATTTGTTGGATACCCTAAACCCTAAACCGTAAAGTCCCTCTTTTGCGCGCCCGAAGTACTATGGGCTATGTTAGAATCGGGGCCCTAGAAGTGATATTCTCAATTTAAGAACCTCCAGGGTTTAGGGGTTAGGCTTTACGGTTTGGCTTTTGCTGAAGGTTGTAGTGCTCACCGGGCAGAACGTCCACTGGATGGCTGATATGCTTCTCCGAAGCGGCCGCAGCTTGTACTGCCTTGCGTGGGGCTTGCGGGTCTTGGGTTTGAGGGTGTGATGCAGTATTTGTCCTGGGTTACCACTATAGGTGCCCTTGATTTTTTTTGAGGAAGTAGTAGTAGCAGCAGCATTACCAGCTCCAGTACTAGTAGGAGTATCAGCTGCAACTGCAGCATCCCTTTTTCATTGACTTCGAACCGTGACCCTAAACCATAAACCCCCAAGTCCCAGAACCCTAAACCTACAGCTTGAACCCCCTCAACCCCTAAATCCCAAAACCCTGAAACCTAAACCCAAAATCCTAAACTCCTAAACCCTAAACCCCCATACCCCCCAAGCCCCAAAACCCTCAAAATAGGCATCGAGTTGTGGCTAAAGACGAAACTACCGGAGCCGAGGCCTCTCAGGGCGTTGAGTGGGGGACATAGGAGCATCTTGGGTTTAGGGTACAGGATTTAGGGTATAGGGCTCATGGAAATGAAAACGGAGACCATGATATTGGGGGGTTTTATGGGGGCCTTGGCGGTAAGGACTTATGTTTTTGGTTGCGGGTGTTTTTGGCTTTTGGGATTTGTTGACGGGACGGGGGGGGGGGGAGAGGAGGTTCAGGGTTCGGGGCATGAAAGATTTTGTGTACCAGGATTTTTTTGAAACCCTTGGTAGGGGGCTTTAGGGTCCCAGTTGGAGGGTTTAGGTAGCTGATAGAAGGAACAAACCCTAAACCAAGCACCCTGTCAAGGAGACTTGCAAGGTCATTCCTAAAGTGCATCGGGCATTGTTTTGCAGATTCATTCCCTGACCCTTTGTGACTACCTCGGGGTGACCTTACCTTCCTATAGTATAGTACAGTATATATAGTATAGTATTGGATAGTAGAGTTTAGAGCTTCGGGGTTTAGGCAGTTCTGTTTATCCCTTCTACACTGCTTGCTGGATACCTGGCGCCACTGCCCTAAATCCTAGATGGGGGGGGGGTCATACCATACCAGCCCTAGATAGACGTAACATGTATATAGGGTCCTATGGTCCACCTACACCCCTTGGATTCCCTGTGTACCCCTTATGGAGTCTCCCCTTTTTCCATTTATACGCCCCTCGTGGAGCCATCCCTAAACCCTTAACACTGAACCCCTAAACCCATCTAAACCCTGACACCTAAACCTATCTAAACCCTGAAACATAAACCCTGAAAGCATCTAAACGCTACAGCCTAAAACCCTAGCATGCCCGGAAGGCAGAAGCACGCCATCCTTCGCCTCCGGACTGCAAAAAGTTGGATAATGATGGATAATCAAAGGAGCTATAGTCTGAACTCCTTTAAGGGGATTGATTATACGGGGATACTAGGAGTTTACATTTAGACAAAGAAATGGAGACCCTCGTTCCCTTTAAAAGGGTTCTGGAAGGATGTTTGCGCATATATAGGGAAGTATGGAGAATCAAATGGAAAGCATGAAAGCTGCGATTACATGATTATTGCATCTAGGGGTATGTTAAATGGTGATATTCTGGTCCCCCATATTCAATGTGCAGTAAAACTACATCTATTTGGGGGTATAGCTTCAAAAGACGAATATAACCTTACATAGTCCAACCACCACAGACATCATACTAATCACGTCAGCCGTTCTGTAAACTCCACTCAGTTGAAAATCCACCAAGAAACCCCAATGTCCCTCAATAATAGGGCGGATGTGGGTCCTGTTGTGGCTATTTGGGCACTATAGCCGTGTATTCTTATTCCTGCAGAGTCTCTGGCCCTTGTGGATGTTGTATTGGATGTTTTTTGCACCTTAAGTGCGCAGAGCAACAATGCTGTAGCGAATGCCCTGAAGCCCCATACATCCAAAAGAGTTCCGCCTAGAGATCCAAGTATATAGATAAGACCTACTTTGGGCCCTAAAGTCTATGTACATATCACCTACTTTGGGCTATTTGGATCCCATAGGTTCTATCTGAGGCAAGTACATCAAAGAAGATCCGGGTGCCATGGAGCTGCTCTGCAAAGACGGTGAGATGCCAGATGTGAAGATGGCATCGAAAGCCATTCGGCCTGCTCCGCTCAGGGTGTAGGGTTAAGGGTTTAGGGTTTTTGAAGATGGTAGCAGCAATGATCCCGAAAGGTCCATGTAGTCATATAGTATATGCCTAGTTTAGGGTTTAGGATTTAGAGCTTTGGGTTTACTTTGGGTACTGCACCAGCGAGTTGGATAAGAATCATGCTATATATATATATGTATATATGTATATATATTTAACAATGGTAGCAGCAATTACAGTATGGTGAGAAAATAGGAATCATTCACTCACAGCCTTACCTGAGCCCCAAGTGGACGTCGACCAATGGCATTTCGGGTCGCTTTATGCCCGTTGGCTCATTTTTTGTTTACTACTTTTGAGGCCCAGGGAGCTCTAAGTTTCAAATGAAAACTTGAAAAACACTGCACCTGCCTAAGCATCGAGAATCAGCTTCCAAGTCGGCATGCTTTCCGCCGCCTCATGACCAAACGTCAGGGCTGCTGCCAGGGTCCCTTCATGGGGTTTCCGCTGGCTAGGACTCTGAGGGCCTGCAGACGTCACCATTACCTAAACCTCCAAAGTAAGTAAAAACATGGTGCAAATTCTCAAATGGAGCCACGATGGCTAACCCGTTTATTAAGTAATGCCTAAAGTTGGGCCCCAAAGTCTACAACATGTACCAACAAGAGGCAATTTATTTGGAGCCCTAGGGTAATACTCTGCATCCTTCTTGGGGGGTTCAGGTAGGCTAGGTATGCCTCAGAACTGAGGCCAGCGACAATTTCTGCTGCGCTGATCTCCGCAGAGTGGTCAGCGATGCCAAGATGCTGGCTGCCTGGGATCGGATACTTCGGTCATCTTACCATGACATTTTGTGGGGCCCGACAGGTCATAAATGTTACCTACTTCGGGTCCCATGATCCATGTTAAGTGTCTTACCATAAGGGTTTAAGCTCGCAAAAGTTGGGAGTTCGTCGGCGCACAAACCCATGCAGACCATACTATTTGGGATTCAAATCCCATTACAGGGGCAAGTCGGGCTAGGATTTTGAGGTTGTGCCTGAGTCCAAAAGGGTACAATAGTAGCAGTGGAATTAGCAGTAGTAAGAATAGTAATCCTGGCAGCAACAGCAGCAGTAGTAGGAGGAGTAGTAGTAGCAGTAGTAGGAGCAGAAGCAGTAGTAAGGAGTACTAGTAATAATAATAGTAGTAACCCAATACCTGTGTTTTAGGTACCCAAAACCATCCCGATGCATTTGCATACGCAGAACTCTACGGCTCTACAGTTACCGAGCAGATCAGGAACAGCAACGGCAAGATCTTGGACGGAGCAGCGTACTTGGAGAAAGCCGCGGAGGGCGTCTGTAAGATGCAAGAAGAAGTGCGCGCTACCTCCCGAAACTTGTACGGCTAAGGCCACACTAAGACTGGCTAGGCAGTAGCTAGCTGCTTTCCGAACAGGTGGAGTCACGACCGGAGGTAAAAGTAGCCGGTCTCCTCCTTTGCCATCCAAGCCTACCGGCAATCAATTCGAACAATTCGTTTTGGGATTGTGCTAGCTGTCCCTGCAGAAGCTGTGGAAGCAGCACAGTCTGCTGATGTAGATGGGCTGATTGGTGGCACTCCTTTGTTGAAACAAATTTTCTTGGATGGCCATTGCACAGCAGCCGCTACGCCCAAAGACAGAAAAGGCTGCCAGATGGACTGCACATGGCCTTGCTTGCAAGGTGGCGCGCTCATGTGTCTGCTGTCTTGCATGAGGCAGATTTGCGCCATAGTGAGTTCCATGTTGTTCGCTACATGCATGTTCTCACTGTTTCGGCGACAGCCCATCTCATCAAGACAATTATTGCCGTATTGTGTCCGCTTTAGCTGTGGCAGGTGATCTATCGAGCCTTCCTAGAGGCAAGCGCTTTGCCTGTGCCTGGCACTGAGCTGGATGAAGGTCGCTGTTGCAATGATTGAAGCAAGTTTGCCGTGTCCGAACCGGGGCCGTTTTCAACAATGTCTCAGTATTGACGGTGCGGTTAGGGAGAAGCCTGGTGTGGATTCAATGGTTCTGGGGCTTTGGGTTTACGATCTCACGGCTTAAGGTCAAATGCTTCGTAGGGCATCCAGACGTACTCTCAACGCCTAGAACCTCAAATGATCCCGTATGGATACCCCCACCTATACCCCAAAATGTAATACCGGGACCCCGCACGCGATCCCAACCGTGATTTCGAGTTTTTGCAATCCACCTTGTTGATGCACCAAAAATCTCCATGTCGTGTGAAACATTCTAAAGCATATGACGGTTGTTTTAAAGGCCCTACCTTATTTGCCCTTTAGAAGCAGGGATGTTCAACAACTACCCTATGTTTAGTAGTACTACGACTTAGCAAGCAGCAGGAATTGTAATCTGGCTGGGGTTCCAGGTAGGGCAGAGATATCAGTTCAGGCTTTAGGGCTAGAATACCCGAATCCGCCCCAATGCCTCACCATAAACGCCGAACCCAAGGAACCTAGACCACAATCATATTCAGAAAGACCGCCATATGGTGGATATTTTCGAAATCTTGCATGACCCTGCCCACCTAACATACACCTTCTTGTACAACGAAAAGCTGTTGAACCCGGATTATATGAACCCAAAGAACGGTGCACCATGTTTGAGAAACCCCTTGAAACTGGAAGTTGGGTAGCCGCCGAGGAAGTGCTCTCTGCGTACTGCGCTGATTGACCACGGCCTTAGACTCGGGCTGTTCCTGTTCCAGACCCACCAGCTACCCTCTACTTAGGCCTATGCACTCCCTATTCTAAGACCCCATATGGTAACTTCCCAAAATTGGGGACCCAAAACGGATACTATGGGCGTTATTGTAGGGACCTCCCAAAAGGTTCCCCCAAGTTTGGGAAGCCCCTCCATATAGCCTGTAAGCCCCGTTAAGGGTTCTGGGAGAGTCTTAGTCTGCGCTACTTCCCAGACCCCCTAAAGGATCCCCAAAATGGAACCTCCCCAATACGAACCCATTACTGCATTGGCGAAACTAGGGGATTATTAGGGGGTTCCATTTTTTGGATCCTTTGGGGGATCTGGGTTGTTGGGTGAAGGCCGTGAAGTAATTGGAAGGCTGGACTGCACCTGTCTTCATGTTTGTTGGGGGGAGTGTAGGGATTCACAACAACCACAAGCCGCTAGCAGTCCACAAACGTGCGAGCTTTAATGGGACTTTCTACGAAAGCTTCACCAAGTGAAGCACAAACTGGGACCCCCATCAAGAGGTTTCAAGTGCTCGATGAGCTGCTTGAATCTACTTGTTGGTTTTTTTCTCCAGGTGGGGCCCTCATCCGCGTCCCTGCGATATGAGAATTTTACGAGTTTTGGGCCCATAGTTTACCACCAAAATGACGAGATCATGTAATGCCATAAAATCTAAGCAAGCCCCGAAGCTTACACGATAGACATTCTCCCATCAACCAGAGACATCTCCTTGAGCTTACCCTAAGGGTCCAGTACCTAAGTAGATAGCCAAGGGCCAAAGTACTTATGTAGGAACCCATTTGGGCCCCAATTATCTACTATTTGAGTACTTGGACCCTTTGGGTAGATACATGTCCTTGGAGCTTACAAGGCATTCTCTACGGGGAGGCCTCCCGCGCATGTTGGGGAGGCTTAGGACTTTTGGTTGCTCAGGGTGGTGGGTTTAGAGTCGAGCATTCATTGTTTGAGTTGGGCCCTTTGTTTTTGTTAGTTGCGTCTTTGTCCGGGGGCTTGCAAAAGGCGTGGTCCTGCTTGGCTTAGGCTAAAGGAGTAGTGAGTTGTGCGCAGTCTAAAGCATAACATTGCACGGGCACAGGGTTCGGCCCGTGATTTTGACGACTGGGGAATCTTTTAGTTTGACAGGGGATTTTCTGCACTTGGCTCCATTAGTCCAGGGTATGTCCTATAATTGGTCCAAAGGTCAAAGGAGCCTTGGAACCACACATTTCGGCTTGGCCCATGAGTTTAGGGTCGCCTAGTAACTTCCTCCCGATTTTGTCGATGGAATTGACAACCTAGGGCCGTTGGTGTGGTCCCTGCTTTCAGTATGGATTTTGCAACAAGGCGTCCTTTGGAGTCCCTGCTTCTAATTACTCAGTGTGGCGAATTGTGTTTCGAGAGCCTGATTGGATGTGGATTCATGTTCAGCAGAGCACGAACCATTGCCAACGTATTTCTTTGTAATCCTTGTACGTTTAACAAATGAACATCGAGACCAATTCTGATATTTTGGGTCTTCTGTAGTGCAGCAGATCACCCTTACCTGCGATTTCAGTGCGGCTCTCGAATATGCCGAAGGGACTTTCTGACGAGCTTGCATGGGCCTAGTGGCATATGGTAGTTCCCAAAATAGTGGGACCCCGTACCGACCCCAAAATACACTGATCTTATTATGGGAACCCGAAAAGGGTACCCCAAATTTTGGGAACCCCATATCATATACACAACCATTTCTGAGCGGAAGTAGATGGGTCGTGGAGGTCATCTGTCATAACTGGCTACGAAGGGCAACACTGTAGGTGGTGGCGGTGGCTGTGGCGGTGGTGGTGGCGGTGGCGGCGGCGGTGGTGGTTGTGATGGTGGTGGTCGTCGTAGTCGTAGTAGTAGCAGCAGCAACAGTTGCAGTAATAATCCGATTAATTGTATTAAAAGTAGTGAGAAAAATTTAGAAGCAGTGATACTTGCAGTAACAAGAGCACTAAAAGCAATAATAGTTAACAGTTCTACTAAAAATCGCAATAATCATGGTAATGGCGGTAGTAATAGTAACAAGAATAGTAGCACTAGTCAGCTTTCTCATGGCCCACTTGCCGTACGGCAGTTTGTGTTCGCCATACGTGCTTCCTTTGTCAGGTGCGGTACCGTGGCCGAGAGCCTTCACAAGCTCCAGAGTAGCTTTTCACCTTGGAGATTCCCAACATCCGGGTCGGTGAGGGCTTTGCTGTTCCTAACCTGCAGCGGGGCAGAATCATTACCCTGCGCTGTAGACTAAAGAACCCCGTACACACCTACATAGTGTCAACCGCCTATTAGTAGACAGTACCTATCAAAGGGCTCAAAAGGTGGGATGAAGGAAGGTGGGGTAAAGGAAATGAGCCCCAATATAGTAGAGTATATACTAAGGATCCTTTAACCTACCTACATTATCCCACCTTTTGAGCCCCCTGAACCTATAAGAACCAAGCCTAGACTCTTAAGACAATTCGCTCATGGCTACATGGGTTAGTCGAGACGGTAAACCCTGAACCCTAAGTAGTGGTTTCCATCTGATTTTCCATTATCCCAATATAATCCCTATATAAGCCAATGTAGCCCTCATATAACCCTATATCCTTGTAAGTGGGTCGTTCAAAGCAACTCCTTTTCAGCCTGGCGGAGCGCATTGTCGTGCTTTGGATCACAGGCGAAAAAAGATCCCAAAAAGAAAGCTGGATGACGTCACCAGTAGGACGAATACAGGAGACTACATAAACATTTGCCACCAAATATGGAGAACCGAATGGAAAGGAAAATGGAAAGTTAAACTTCAGCTAGAGACTAGATAGTGTAGAAGCCTATCAATTTGGACATTGTTGCCCCAGATCGCTGGTATTGTTATGGTATACAGTAGTCCAATGGACCTGAAGGCTGCATTGGTAGCTATTCAGGCCCCTACATTTACACCATCCTGCATGCCGCTATGTAAATCCAGTGTTCATCGCAGTTTCGTCTTTCTTGATTCTCTAGTGTGCTGTAAACCCCGCTCTTTCTGTGTACACAAAGCATCTCTGTGTGTATATATATATGTATAGTTTATATACATTTGAATTTGTTTATATACATGTACAATCCCTAGACTCTCCATGTACCCACTATCCCTAACACCAACTATTAGAGACCATATACCCCTGTTTAAGGGTACAAAGAGGGTCCTGATCTATACATCCCTGTGTAGGTATACTTGCGCTCATCCTTGCTGGGTATGTTTGGGGGTCCTATACAGCCCCTGAAGCGCACCGCCTATACATACATATGCCTTTTTCAGGTTGAAAATGCATCCGTGGGGACCCAAGTATATAGCTTAGGTCGACCCCCCACCCAGCAATAGTGACTACAAGGATAATATAAGGAATCTATTGGGATTTTGGGCCCGGACTCTACAAGTATCACCTTCTTTGGGCCTTTAATTGGATTGCATAGGGCATGTTTACGAAAATGCAGAACGTGACATCCAGATCATTGACGGTTCCCACCTTGACACCTTTCTGTGTCATTTTGAGCTAGTGCTTTTGCCTGCTGCAGGTCTCTCACGCAGTTCTGTCCACTGTCTCGGCTCAAGTTGCTATTATAGCTGTGCAGATTTTTGTCGCAACTCTTCGGACGGAACCATGTCGGTGAAGCCCATCCGCGAGCATGCAGGCAAGGCCCTCCTCGAGAAGTTCTTGCCGGAGGTGTCGGGAGGCAAGCACAAGATGGGCTGCGCGGGCGTCCTCGTGACTCCCACTGTGCTCGACAGCACCAGCGGACAGACCTGGGACACCATCCTGCAGGAGAACCCGTGGCTCAAGACCACCAATCTTGTGGCCAAGCCGGATCAGCTCATCAAGCGTCGTGGCAAGGCAGGACTCATCGCTGTGAACAAGACTTTTGACGAGGCCAAGCAGTGGGTCATGGATCGCATGTGCAAGGAGCAGCAGGTGGAGCACGTCACCGGGCAGTTGAACCACTTCCTGATCGAGCCTTTTGTGCCTCACAAGCAGGAGCAGGAGCACTACATCTGCATGCTTTCCCACCGCTACCATGACGAGATCCTGTTCTACCACGAGGGTGGCGTGGATGTGGGCGATGTGGACGCCAAGGCAGAGAAGTTGGAGCTGCCATACGGCGAGAAGCTGACCGAGGCCATTGTCTTGGAGAAGCTGTTGAGCAAGATGCCGGCTGCGAAGAAGGCCAACATGGCATCCTTCGTCCTCAGCCTGTACAAGTTCTACACAGACCTGCATTTCGCTTACCTTGAGATCAACCCATTGGTCATGCTGGATGACAACACTGTGATCCCGCTCGACATGGCGGCCAAGATCGATGAGACTGCGAACTTCCTCTGCGCGCAGAAGTGGGGAGAGCTTGACTGGCCTCCTCCTTTTGGCCGTGCGGCCTACCCAGAGGAGGCGCTCATCCGCGACATGGATGGCAAGACCGGTGCCTCTTTGAAGCTGACCATCCTCAACGAGAAGGGCAGGGTTTGGACGATGGTTGCCGGCGGAGGTGCCTCCGTCGTCTACGCTGACACCGTGGCAGACTATGGCATGGGCAACGAGCTCGCAAACTACGGTGAATACTCCGGAGCTCCTTCCACGGAGGAGACCTTCGTCTATGCCAAGACCTTGCTTTCATTGATGATGAAATACAGGCAGTGCCGGGAGGGCTGAGATGAATCGGCATGAACATTTCCAGCATTTCTGATCCCTCTTGCTTTGATGGCAATTGTTAGAATCCATGATGTCAGCGTATATTTATATACTTCCCGAGGTTCAGGTTACAGGAAGTCACGCAGGATTTTGTCCCCAGCGGCAGTGAGCATGTTTCGGGAGTTCATGGTTAGCTGTGGTCGTTTACGCAGGTCAGGGGCTCCTGTCAAAATTGCGACAGTTGAATCTTGTAAACGGCAGCCAGACACAGCGGTGAAGCAGGACAATTAGTCCCACCCCCCTAATATTGAACCCCCCCACCGCCCCACCCCCTAATCTTACATAGTCCCACTGTGGCATATTAGAATATATTGGAAGTATTTACTACTAGGGGGTGGGGGGTTTACTACTAGGGGGAGGAGATTCTTGTCTCCGCCCTTGAAGTCATCCTAGTTTACTTAGAGGAATTGCGTTTCATTGTATGCCCAATCAAATGTGGGGACCTTTGGTATTCTCCACACAAGACATCCATGACGTGAATTGGCCATAAAAAGTACAACTCTCTATAGCCCAAAAGCCCGGAACCACCAAACCCCTTCACTCTGAAACCTCAACCCTAAACCCTAAACCGCGTCTCTCAACTTTTTGTAGGGGTGTCTACAGCCAGGAATCCGGTGGATTCTGATAGGAAACCCTTCCCCTGCCCCGCCCCCCTCAATCAAGTGGCGGAATGGAATATATCCTGGGTCCCCAGCTACCTCCGCAAAAGCTGTTTGGAGGAGATACTTGAAACTTGACCCTCTAGTTCGCGTCATGCTGTTTTGTTTGTTATTCCGTGTGGGCAAAAAATCGCTCGTTCCGTCCCTCGAACAATGGAAACACTTCGACTTTCACTCGAGCACCCAAAGCCCATGAGCAGGCATCCGGACGGTAAGTATCTCATCATTGGCGGCGGCATTGCCAACTTCACGGACGTGGCGGCGACCTTCACAGGTCTCATCAAAGCCCTGCAGCCTGGATGACTGGAGAACGTGTTCTAAACCTCAACGACCCAAAAGCACTACCGGGCAAGCGGTTGTAGCATCTAGGTAGCTTCGCCGAACCACCACCCACTGTACTTAAAACGATCATGCGCACACGGCATCCTTGCAACAACCAAGGCAGGAGTACGCAGAGGACATCAAGGCCGGGTGCTCTCCATGCCTTGGGCGAGAGAGGGAACCGGGAACTTTGGGCTTCAGGGCTCGGGCGAGGAGAAGACATGGGATCTGACGGAGGCGTGCACGCGTGAAAGAGCAGCAGATGAGGTTTCCGTGTTTAGATGCTGTCGAAAAGCTGTATGACGCTTTGGTATGTTTTGAATGCACTTCTTGACCAAGAGTCACAGGAGCATTTCTGCATCACCTTTAAGAACAAGAAAACACGAGCAGGTTGGAAGATCAATCTGGTGTATAAGCAGCAGTCTAGACTAATGTCACCATCTGGTGTTCCTACAGCTTGTGGAGCAGCCATTTACCTGCACGCCGCTGGTCCGCATTGGGAACACTTGCACCCGTGAGTGTGACCTGTATCTCCATCCTGCTTTCATAGTATCAGGCTTGCAGGGCATGGTAAGGCCTGAGGTTAGGGTTTAGGGTTTAGGGTTTAGGTAAGGAGTATCCTCCTTCTTACTTAAGCTCGGAACCAAAACCCTCAAGCCTGAATAGTAGTTTCCATTCTAGTTTCCATTATCCCAATATAGTCCCAATATGATTTCGTAGCTTCCATTTTCTTTTCCAACATCCCTATAAATCTAGTGTTGCTGTGGCTTTGCCTAGGCTGACCTTTTCTGGGCTCCCTTGGCCTGAAGAATTGCCAACATGATGGTCCCAGATTCCGTATAATTATAACTATATCGGGGCTATATTGGTGTAAGGTTACTATATTATCCCACTAGAATGGAGAATCAAATGGAACATAAAGCGGAAAATGACATGGAAACCGGGGGTATATAGGATAGTCATAATATTGGGGTTATTACGCCATAGAGTACTTGAAACTAGACCGGAAACTTATACTGCCCCAGTTTCACATCCTGCGTGTGCATCCCAAGAGCTATAGCTCTTTTCAACTTGGCCAGGAGCACAAGATCAAGATCTACATCCGCCGAGCTGGGCCAAACTACCTCGAGGGCCTCAGGAAGGTCGCTCATCTGGATTTTGTTAGCATATCAGCCCATGGTTGCAAGTAGAAAGACTTACATGGGTTTGTTAGGTTTGTTGTGGCATGAATGCAGGAAAAAACACTGGATTTTGATTTCA